AATGGCTGCTAATGGGGAATGAGAGACAGGAGAATTCGGCTTTTACTTTCTCACGGCTTGCGCTTCGTACCTACTTCCCACCTTTAACCACCTTGAGTTCATGGCATATACTACTTCACTGTATTCATAGCACTGCAGCTCAACGCTCCCTAAACCTTTCTAAAAACAAAGAGGTTACGCCCGCCGAGTATAACGTAGCAACCCTTTCTTGTCAGAGAGTGCTCAATGTACATGCCAATGGCTGCTAATGGGGAATGAGAGACACGAGAATTCGGCTTTTACTTTCTTATGGCTGGCGCTTCGTACCTACTTCCCACCTTTAACCATCTTGAGTTCATGGCATATACTACTTCACTGTATTCATGGCAGTGCGGCTCAACGCTCACTAAACCTTTCTAAAAACAAGGAGGTTACGCCCGGCGAGTATAACGTAACAACCCACCATCTTGAGTTCATGGCATATACTACTTCACTGTATTCATAGCACTGCAGCTCAACGCTCCCTAAACCTTTCTAAAAACAAAGAGGTTACGCCCGGCGAGTATAACGTAGCAACCCTTTCTTGTCAGATAGTGCTCAATGTACATGCCAATGCCTGCTAATGGGGAATGAGAGACACGAGAATTCGGCTTTTACTTTCTTATGGCTTGCGCTTCGTACCTACTTCCCACCTTAACCATCTTGAGTTCATGGCATATACTACTTCACTGTATTCATGGCAGTGCGGCTCAACGCTCACTAAACCTTTCTAAAAACAAGGAGGTTACGCCCGGCGAGTATAACGTAGCAACCCTTTCTTGTCAGATAGTGCTCAATGTACATGCCAATGGCTGCTAATGGGGAATGAGAGACACGAGAATTCGGCTTTCACTTTCTTATGGCTTGCGCTTCGTACCTACTTCCCACCTTTAACCATCTTGAGTTCATGGCATATACTACTTCACTGTATTCATGGCAGTGCGGCTCAACGCTCACTAAACCTTTCTAAAAACAAGCAGGTTACGCCCGGCGAGTATAACGTAACAACCCTTTCTTGTCAGATAGTGCTCAATGTACATGCCAATGGCTGCTAATGGGGAATGAGAGACACGAGAATACGGCTTTCACTTTCTTATGGCTTGCGCTTCGTACCTACTTCCCACCTTTAACCATCTTGAGTTCATGGCATATACTACTTCACTGTATTCATGGCAGTGCGGCTCAACGCTCACTAAACCTTTCTAAAAACAAGCAGGTTACGCCCGGCGAGTATAACGTAGCAACCCTTTCTTGTCAGATAGTGCTCAATGTACATGCCAATGGCTGCTAAGGGGAATGAGAGACACGAGAATTCGGCTTTTACTTTCTTATGGCTTGCGCTTCGTACCTACTTCCCACCTTTAACCATCTTGAGTTCATGGCATATACTACTTCACTGTATTCATGGCAGTGCGGCTCAACGCTCACTAAACCTTTCTAAAAACAAGGAGGTTACGCCCGCCGAGTATAACGTAGCAACCCTTTCTTGTCAGATAGTGCTCAATGTACATGCCAATGGCTGCTAAGGGGAATGAGAGACACGAGAATTCGGCTTTTACTTTCTTATGGCTTGCGCTTCGTACCTACTTCCCACCTTTAACCATCTTGAGTTCATGGCATATACTACTTCACTGTATTCATGGCAGTGCGGCTCAACGCTCACTAAACCTTTCTAAAAACAAGGAGGTTACGCCCGGCGAGTATAACGTAGCAACCCTTTCTTGTCAGATAGTGCTCAATGTACATGCCAATGGCTGCTAATGAGGAATGGGAGACAGGAGAATTCGGCGATTAGTTAACGCGCACGCTATGAATTTTTTATTGTTCAACAACGCACAGGAGAAATCTCCCACCGGCACCACCTTACAGGTCAAAACGTAAGACTGGTTACATACTACGACTACTACTATGACTGCGAAAGACGAACGGGTGCCGCCATATGGAGCTTTGCCCCGACTAAACACCCTCTTAACGTAAATTAGTGTGTTGTAGTAGTTAACGTGTCGAGCCCACAATAAGCTGTGCATCTAGAGGGTGGTGGTTCAAGCCCCACACAGCCATGCTTTTTTTTCTTTCACATATTTTTTTCCCTTAGTGCTCGAAGAGATCCGTCAAAAACCAAAAAAGCTCAGTTTCGGCTCAAGTTCTGATTGATTGATATGTGGGGTTTAACGTCCCAAAACCACTATATGATTATGAGAGACGCCGTAGTGGAGGGCTCCGGAAATTTAGACCACCTGGGGTTCTTTAACGTGCACCCAAATCTGAGCACACGGGCCTACAACATTTCCGCCTCCATCGGGCTCAAGTTCTGCAAATTATTTTTTTCGTGAGGTGTGTACTAGTATACTCTCTTAGAGGGGGGGGGGGGGTTACGCTATTCTGCTTCGGGCAGCGTTATGTTATTCTGTTGAAGGGGAGTGCTTTGACACGTTCTGGAAGAATCACTCTACTCTGCTCCAACAAGGGGTGATTTACTCTAGAAAAGAGAGTGAAATATGGGACAAAAAAGTACTCTACTAGAGAGAGTGCCCAGCACTCTCTTAGTTTTGGGTGTGTACACTAAGGAAAAACGCGAACAACTGTCATACTTTTTCTTGCGTAGCGTATCAGCAGCGTTAAACTCTAGCAGCGTGCTCCTTTTGCAAACGCGGCTGTGGCAGCGTCCGAATAAACCGTCCTCCTCTCCCGAATCACGAGTCTTATAAGCGTGCGCTGAAGAGACCAAGCTCCGTGGAGGCGGCGCTTCGTGGGAGCGATGACCTTTAGAGCGTGCCCAACGCCAGCGCGTCACTGTATCTCACCATTGATAACAAAAACGTGCTAAAGTTCTGAAGCTATGAGGACTTCTGAACTGTGTATAGTGAATATAAATGGCTTGCCAGTAGTACTTCACACAACGCACGCGCGGTGGCGTAGTGGTAAGCGCAGCGCGCGGAGATCCGAAAGGTTGTTGGTTCGATTCCACGTGACGAATGCTTACAATCGGTTATCTTATTTTTCAACGTCACTTCCCTGACGAAAGTACGTCAGTGGAGCCGTGGTTGACACCGGCATAAAACAGTTACAGTGACAGCGAGAAAGAAATTCGACATTTTGTGGGCCACCGATGTGATGGTGCAATTCTCGACGTTTCAATGACTACTTATATAGCTACTTCAACGTGGCAGCACATTTAACTTAAAAAAACAAAACGGTGACTACCTTCAATGTACAACTTTGCATTCAAAGGCCTCGTCGGCGAAGCATTGCCAGCACCGGGGATCTACCAGAGTTTATAGACAATACTGAAACTCGAATGTTTTACATCAAACGATGCCCGTTAAAAGGGAACTGCTGTAAAACTGAAAATGTTGTCATTTTATAAATGCTTCTCCTTAACCCTTACGGCCCTGGTGGTGTCAAGTGACACCACTGCACATTTTTTCTCTCGGAAGCGTAACCAATACTGCCCATTCTTAGGGACATAGTTGTTCAATGATCCCCAATGCAATTGATTTCAATATTGCGACACGTTTGTCGAGGTAGCCGCCACAAAGAAGAACCATGGCCTAGGTATTCGGTGAAGCTGATGCGCGTAAGGTGAGGTGGGTAAGCGCCATTTTCGGGACAATGTACCAAAGCTGTTTCAAAGAGTATTAGGCCTTAAAGTAAGACGTAGGTTCCAATTTTGTGTACACTATTGATTGGCAGAAAAAAAAAGCCAGTTTTCCAATCCTCCAATCACTGGGTCCTAATTACCTATTTGGATGTCATGTTAATTCATTCGAAAATGCTTGCACCATTGGCTCATTTTTTTGTATGTTGTCTTGTGAGGACCTTACTATGAGGAAAACGCGCACGAAAAGTGTATCTGACCAAAATAAAAAATTCAGGTTAAGAGTACAGACACAGCGTTTGAGAAGTACACTCCGCATGACCTTAATCTTCAGGATATTTCTAACATTAATCTTCTTTTGTGCAAGCATTCAATATTGTTTACGGTAATGGTTAACTATAAGTATGCTTGCATCGATCTTGCTGCTAAGGCGTCCGTCGGAGCAACGACAAGTATCAGTGGATGTACATTTAGAAAATACAACTCGTTTGCAGTGATTCAGCAGTAAGGCGACTCATAGCAACTTCCTGTGGTCACATAGATTTGATCACTTTGTTTTCTCGGCTGCCTCCAAATTTTATCCGTGATAGCTGAGTACGCGATGAGCAAGGCCACACGCTGTTTTAATTCAAATTCAGGGAGAGCTTGACAGAAAAACATATGTTGCTCACCAAACATTATTATGCCCTAAGAAAGTGTTCATTGCAATGAGGAAATGCTTATTCTACTTCAGTGCATAGGCTGCAGGCTAGATAATACAGAAACGAAAACATAACCAATAAACGGGTAATTAATCTTGATTCATGCTTCAATAATCTAACCCACCAGGCACAAAATTTTGCATACCACGACATTCCAATCTACGGATGCTAGGACTACGTGGTTTCCGAAATGAATAGATGATCAACAGAGGGCAAACCGTGAAGTCAATGAGCATGTGCTACGTGAACTGTTCTTGTTCATGCGCACTCGCTTTCGAATATGCGTTTTATATTCAGTTACATTCGCTACTTTTCGCAAAAGAAAGTGGATGAGCAAACATGGCTTCACGTATGCGCAGCTTCAGTATGCGATCTGAGCGCTGTGCCTCAATCATTCTCTGCCCCTACGCCCTTTCATTTCATAGTCGGCGTCCAAGCTGTCTCGTTCTCTTTTCTGTGTCCGAATTAGGCCACCCACGTTCATTTTTTCAGGAATGCTTCCCAACTAGCTCACATTTGGCGCGTGTATTCTCTATTTCTACGTGGTCATTTTCGTTTTGAACTGTAATTTCATGTACACGTGAAGTTTTATGAAGATGAATATACCACGACGATCTATCCTTATTGCTACTGACGCTAGAACATTTGCTGTTTATCTTACACAGGGACCTCGTCGCCAGGTGGCGTGGGCAGAAGAGCACTGGAACAAAATAATCCAGCCTTCCTTCAAGCGTCGATCGCAAAAGTTTCGACGACCAAGAAGGCTCTTTCAAGAATCACGCCTGCCGGCGTACTCAGGCCGAAGTCGTAACCTCCACGTCCATCTCAGTGGTGCGAGCGCCCATGGCGTTTCGTAATTTCATCATCCACCAGCAGGCCTCCGTCACAAGGCCCTCCATGAACCGCTTCAAGCCACTTCGGCTGTCCAGGATGCTGAAGGTGTTCAACAAGCACCTGGAACACTACCCGGTAGTACCCACAGACAAGGTCCACAGGGTTCTCGTCGTCACGTATTTCCGGGCAGGTTCCACGTTTGTAGGCGACCTGCTGTCCGCGACACCGGCCACATTTTACCACTTCGAACCTCTGCACATGTTCAGCAACGACGCCAGGCTGAACGGAAGTGCGGCCAGCAACGCTTCCGGCTTGATCGGGCACCTGCTTCGTTGCGACTTCCAACGAGTGCAGCACTACGTCCGCTGGGCGTATGAAAGGAAGTTCCTCTTCAAGCGGAACCACTTCCTTTGGGCCCTGTGCGGGGGCCAATATCCGGTGTGCTTCAAGCCGGACTTTGTGTCCAAGGTCTGCACTCGGGCGCCTGCTCAAGTCATGAAGGTCACGCGGTTGCACATGTCTCAGGTCCGAGATTGGTTGCAGAGCAACCCAGACTTGGCAAAGTCGATGAAGGTTCTACACCTGGTGCGTGACCCGCGGGGCATTCTGGCTTCGAGGAGACTCTTGGAGTGGTGTAACGAGTCCAAGAGCTGCGCCCACCAGGACACACTGTGCTCGGAGCTTCGAGCCGACCTCGACACATTCGAGGATCTGCAGAGGATGTTCCCGAACAGCACGTACAGAGTTCGATACGAGGACGTGTCACTGGACCCCAAGAAAGAAGCGCTAAAAATGTTCGAAGCTCTTGGTCTCAACTTACACGGTGTACGTATCTAATTTCCTGAAGACGCACACTAAAGCGCGAAAGGCCGATGCCTTGGACCCATATTCGACGAAGAGGAATTCGTCTACCGTCGCGTTTCAGTGGAGAACTAAACTTAATTTTGAGGACATCGCGGAGATTCAGCGGTCATGTTCGGACGTGCTCCTTCGGTTAGGTTACAAGACCATCACTGACGAAAGTGATTTGTTGGACGAAGTGCCCATAGCTCCTGTGCCGCACTTGATAGCAGCGGGTGTGCATACCACGTTGAGGGTGTCCGTAGGCACTGGAAGCTAGAAACTTTTGAACGAGTACTTCTGCTGCGTCACAATGAGCTAAGGATCTCCTAATAGAAGGTCGTGAAGACATGACTTTTGTGGTGCGTATTTTTCTAAAAGATGGAACTATTGAGGCTACAGGAAAAATGAAAGGAAGGCACTAGCTCAGGGGAAGATGAACACTTGTAGTGACGCAAAATTGCCGAATGGAAAAGCTTCTGGAGCTGGCGTTTCCACAAAGGACATCTCCCGGTCCGGGCAGCATCTCATAATTGTGACATGTTGTTGCCAGCCTAAAGACGTTGCGAGAAATGGTATTGCACTCTGTGAGTGCACGGTGCTTAACAGTCAGTGGAAACGGTCAGAGATATTACGGTATATGACATGATAGATCGAACATTTTATCATGCAATTGCGAACCACACGTGGACTCGTAGGACACGCCTAGAGTTTTTGGTGTGCGCGATTTAGAAGTTCATGTTGATCATTCCTTAGACGGTGCGTCACCACGCGCTACTGTTGCCATGAGTGCACCTACGTCACCGTTCATGTGTGTATTTGAACCCACACATCTGTTATGGCTTTGTCACGTTTAAGTCTGATGTTGTGACTATAAGTCTTATCGCGTGAACATTGCAGACAATCATTTTTTTAGGCTTTTAGCTTGTACGTCAGTTGGTCTACCGATCGTGGTTGCTTTATAACCTTTGAGCAAAAGCCGGGGTAAATGTTTAAGGAGTCATTTTATTAGTTGCGCAGACAAAAAGAAATGGTTCTTGCAATCATACTTAGATATTTATAGTTGATGAGACATAGAAGTGTTAGGTGTTACGCAAGAGTAGATGCTCGTAGTGATGTTTACATGTCGCACTTTCATATATTCATGTTTCAAGCGGCTATATTAATTAACGAAAACGTCAACAACTTCTTCTCGTAACAAATACAGTGGTGTAAGACGTGGTCGATTGCCAAACATGTTACGCTTTTATACGTGCCGAAATAAAATGGCACCTGGCGTTCTTCAAACAGTCGACGTAAGAACAATACTGGTTATTGTTGAAACGAGTGTTATGTGACTCGCGTACTTTAGATAAGGTCTTAGCTCATAATATAACTATGGTTACGCTTATGTACAAATCAGCATAATAATTTAATATCCCAGAACACTTTAGAAAGCTCGCCTAAATGGCGATCACGTTTTGCAAGCTTGCGTTTACCATATCAGAACATGCCTTCAGAATTTATATTAAATATTGAACATATATGTCCGCTGTGCTTGGTTTTACATTTGGTAAAGCTTGATTTCAACCGCTTTAATGTGCACATGTATCTTTTATGTTTTGTATTTTTCTTAGCAGCTAGTAAAGGTTGCACCAAAGTTAGCTGTATAGACCAGAGGAATAGGCACCCATTGCAATGAAAACATTCACTGCTACCAGGAACTACCAAATGGAAAAGTAAAAGGTAACTCTTTGAATTCGTTAGTTATGAGGCTTATTACATTATGACATTACGTTATTATGAGGCTTATTATGAGGCTTATTACAAGAACAACGTAATATAATAGAATGAAAAGTTGGGCGAGTTGGTTGCTTGTCTTCTAGCCAGTCCGTTCTTCCGTCCACTGTGTGCGCGCCGAAATGTTACCAAGAACATATCTTATACGCACATTCAATAAAGATTTCACTGTGAACAGCTATTTTAGAGAAACAACGCTAAGCAACTGCGATATTGCGCGTGATGACTTATCTCACCCTAATTTCTGTGGTCAATGAACTGTTTTGAGCTGCTTCTTTTTCAACATATACATTTTGAATACATTTAGGCATTTTGTTTCACGGAGAGAAAATATAGTACAGGGACAAAGCTTGGCGTGGATAGCTCTTGATTTGCTTAGAAGTTGCGTAGTTCGAGCGACAAAGGTACCTCTAGACAGAATCCAAGTTTTCAAAAAGCAGTAGGCGCTTTGACATACTGCGGCACATGTAGCGGAGTCTCGGCTCGTTGGCTCCGCCCAGCCCGAAGGTCGCCACCACACCGTATGATGTGACAACTGGCAGAGCAGCTGCAAAGCTGTCTTCGAGCCCAGCGCGTAGCCTCCCGACGTGCTGGGCTCTGAGGCAGCTTTGCGAAGTAGAAAGCAGTGGCGAGCTTTAGGCTGGGTGGAGTTTGCGCGTCGTGACGTCGCTAAAGTCGCCTCAGTATGCCGACGACACCTACCACTGTTTACAAACATGGAATAGATATATACGTATCAGTAGTGGGTGTATTGCTTCAGACTGTCGTCATAATGCTTAGGAACGCAACAAGCCAAGTTAAAACGACCAAAAATACAATATTACAAAGCGCAAGGAAGCTTCAAAGTATTCTTTGAAACCGGTGTCGAATGAAAAGTACTTGTGCGTGCTGCAATTTAGAGTTCATTGCATGTCAAGAATGAAAGAGAGATGTATGCAGGACGTAGTGCGAAAACAGTATGACGAGCCCAGTCATTCCGTTCAAACTACCAAATGTATCCCTGCGTAAGTAGTTCGTTAATCCGTACTTTGTGGGAGATCTGCTCGTGGTCGGTACAGGTGACTCGTGCGCCAAACCATTGTCCAGTACAACCTTTCGTCCAGTACAGTCTTTTTGGTTCGGTACATCTGAGGTTCACGTCCGTGAATTTATGTCGTTGACAAAATAGGACAAAATGCGATATACCTTGAAGTACTTGTCGCGCATGGCTCCAAGACACAAGGTCAACATGCTGGCTTCGTGAGTGATCGGACAGCATCATGAGACGAAAGACAAGAAGAGGAAGTCTTGCGCTCATGCTACCTATTCTGATCTTTGTATTTCATATTGTCGCAATGTTCTACGCTAATTGAACTATGCCGACTAGCCCACTATCTATAAAACTATGGGTTTTGTTAGTATAGACTGTAATAAACGCTATCACAAAAGCTTAAAGGTGCCAGGAAAAGTTAATTTTTAGTAGTATGCCACGGGTGCCTTAATAGTACCGAGTTTACTGTCGTGCTTCATAACAAGTGACCTCATGTATTGCACATCGTTATGCATAAAAACTTGCAAGGATGTGACCGAATAGCTAGTCATAAAGGGGCGTCTTATGTCGTACTGAACCGTTGCACACGTCAAGGTGAGATGCTTTGAAGCGGTCAAAACGTTCGTTGGCGTTGCGTTTATACGATGCAATAAACACAGTTGAAGATTCGGCCTTATGTTCCTGCTCGTAGTGTTTAGGCACTCGTCATTCTTAGTAGGATGAGCAGTGAAGATGAATAGGTCTGGAAGTCTTGCGCAAAGTTCTGTATGAATACGGCACTGGTACAGTGTGAATGTTAACTGTTGACGCAGGAAAAGAAACGTAGCAAAAACAAAAGCGCTCCCCAGTGTCTATTGCTTTGTGTGCTGTTAAAATGTGTGTTTTTTCCCGAGGTTGGATTAGATTTATGTTGACGTGGTGGTGGGTATGTGGTCAAACTTGTTCATGTCTTCCATGGTTTCTGAGTCATTTGGCCTTTCATATGAATTGGACGCAGTGCTTGTTGAGATGTTTATGTTGCTGTGTCACGTGACGTTATGAGGGAGTGCAACCACTTGGATATTATCCAGCTGGAACTGGACGAGAAATTTTATCGTGGACACTTCTCAGCCTGTTAATAAAAAGCACTATCATATACAACTTGACCCATCATTTACTTCCACGAAATTTTCAAGAATAACACAGACATGCCTTGGCTGATTAGGTAATATAAGAGGGTGCAAGGCACCGTGATCTACGATCTGAGAGAACAACAGGGATATCGCAGCAAGGACAACAACGAGAGAGTATATTGCAGTATTATCTGAAGACGAAGGCTTCCCCAAGGGACTAATTATACTTAAGATATCTTGGGGCATATTCGCAAATGCCGGCCCGTGGTAGAGCATATATCGTCTGTGAGATATTGAGTGGCAACTCAATTTCTTGTAAGCGCGTAGTTTTTATCTTCGTACAAACACAGTAGGATTAGTTGAAGATCATATTGGTCATTATATATATTCCGTTTCTAGTCAACCTCATTTTCACATCCTTAAGTACATGGTGTGGGTCGAGCAAGTTGGTAATACGTGACAGACTACTTCTTGCGCAAAATTTCTAGGACAAAGGACGAATATTGTGACCGTCCGTGTCTGCTTCGTTCGTTCATTAAGAAGTTTTGCGCAAGAAGTAGTTGATCACTAAGTACAGTTTAAATCCGAAAAGAATTCAACTGACGTTGAGGACGCGGCAGCGAGCTATGTATAGAGAAATGATAGGGGTAAATGATAGGTGATAGTGACCTTCGAACGCGGTGATTTGCAAAGTGAGTGAATCTTCTCGAAATTCAGGGGGCCTGTGAATGAGGATGCGAATAGAAAAGTAAGCTCCTTTGACGATGAAAAAGCTGACTAATGCTTCGATCACGCAGTATACAGGAACCCATAGGTAGGCGAAAATTGTGCAATTCACTCAGATTTACTCATGAAATATATTTTGCGCTGAGCGCTCATTTGGACTCAGATTCATCAAAATTTCTCTGATCCGGACTGTCTCTGGCACCGACTCGGGAAAATTTTCTTCAGCCGGTCTTTTTTTTTTATTGATATGATATATAAGGAGATGCTGGCGCACAATTATGGCGCCGGCTACTCCTTAGCCCTTGAGTGAAACTTTAACACGTATCAAAGTAAAACATATAAAGCAGTGCATGGAATTCAGGATATTCGGGCACACATATGTAAAAACACATTTATACACACATATCACAACAGAATGATAGAGAAATGTTGGAAAGTCAACGAATGAAGTCTCTGATAATGTCTCTCGTCAATATTCTATGCAACCAGCACAAAACAGCAGAGCACACGTCTGGTTCTTATGAAGATGCATTCACTCGTGTGTACATAACAGTCGACACGTCATTCACTTCAGCACACATATGATGGGTGTCGTTTGATACTGCGCATAATAAGTACATGTGTTATGCTAATAAAGGCTCGTTATTTCTAAACCATGACCAGCCACGAATTATCCCAACTCATCGCACTCTTGACCACCCGGTTGGTTGACCTTCAGGTCAGTATGAGAGATGTATGTAGCCTATTGGCCAATCATTATTTAAATTAGACGGCGTGTTGCCACAGCCTGTTTTATTATGGACGAGTGATATGGCTTACGTTGGGGCTACGTTCAAATGGGGCGCTGCTAGAAAGTGTGCTTGATAGCTCAAAAATGAAGCTCCCATCAGTGCTTAGCGCATTACGATCGCCTAAAATGTTAACATATGCGTCAGACCTTTTATTTTTTTGTCGTGTGTGAGACGGAAAAGTGTTGCTTAACCTCACTCAGATTGTTCCCTTTCTTCCATCCCTTAATACTATTTATACAGCGTGGGATGCAAACAGGTCACGCAACTTGCTGACCTTCCTGTGTTTCCTTCCTTGCTTGCCTTCCTCCTTATTTTGTAAGGTGTGCTGGCAAACTTGAGGACTCGAGCTCAACTACCGGTCATGGCTGCCTCATTTTGATGGTTTCAAAATGCGAAAGCAGTCAAGTGCTTGGATATAAACGTAGGTTAGAATTAGAAAACATTCAGCTGGCCGGTAAGTAATTTATCATGAATGTTAACGGGTGTGGAAATACGGACACAGGCGTTAAAGAACATGGAACATACGAAACTAATCTGGCGTCCCACACAAAGGCGCAACGCAGTATGATACCGTGGTGGTGGCAGGTAAAGTCATACATCTTAATTATAAACATGATGCCTCTATCAGATAATACGTTCCTGCCGATGTGGTGGTCTGCCCGAAGCGGTGGTCTGTAGTTATTTTATATTCTGCTCTACTGTCCTGAATATCATAGAATTGAATCCCGGCCGTGTCGGCATCAGTTTGATGGGGGTGAACTGCGAGGTCTCCTTGTGCCTTAATTCCCGTACAGATTACGGAACCGAGGAGGTCAAAAGTTTCCGGATCCTTCCACTACGGCGTCTCTCACAAGCAAGCCAGGGCTTGGAGATGTTACATTACGGCAATTACTGTCAGTCGAGCCGATATTGATTGATTGATATGTGGGGTTTAACGTATCAAAACCACCATATGATTATCAGAGACGCCGTGGTGGAGGGCTCCGGAAATTTTGACCACCTGGGGTTCTTTAACGTGCACCCAAATCTGAGCACACGGGCCTACAACATTTCCGCCTCCATCGTAAATGCAGCCGCTGCAGCCGGGATTTGATCCCGCGACCTGCGGGTCAGCAGCCAAGTACGTTAGCCACTAGACCACCGCGGCGGGGCCGTCAGTCGAGCCGCTGTCTTGCACTTCAGCGTAAACGTTCGCTAAAAATCCCGCAAATTATTTCTGTGTGTCTGTTTCTATTGCGATTGTAAAGCTGGATTGGGTGCTGATGAGGTTACATTCACTCAATACACTACATGTATTTGGATTAGCTTCGAAATCATTACGTTCCCAAGTCAGCAGAGAAATGCTTTACCGTTGTAACTCACTCTAAATAGTTGCGGGAAAGAAAAAAACAACTATTATTTAAAGGTTCCGGAACAACGCGTATCGCTTTAAGTTTAAAGGCACATTTGTCGGAGAAGTTACACATTGACAGTTAAAACTGAAACGGCTTGGCTGTGAGAACGAAGAACCGCTACCGGAGATCTTATCACCAAAAGCGGCGGGGAATTCCGGCTTCACGGTTTGCGACTTACGCGAGTGTGTGATAAAAAAGGAACCTTCTAGCGATCGAGACGCACGGAAACACCCCTTGCGACTACGCGTGAAGCGGAGTTTTGTTTCTGAAGACGTGGTACTCAGCGATGCATGCTGGGACTTTCCTTCAGTTGTGCGTTGGATTTTGACTGCTTCGGTTCGGGAACGGTTGGCTGTGCGGGCTTCAAAAGAAACAGCTCCCCCCCCCCCCCCCCGTTGCGCTCACAGTTTCTAACTAGACTAAGCGTGTGTTTCAACAGTTCCTTACTCATTGCGGACCTTGGACAGCTTGCCGTTGACTGAATATGACTTAGACACATCGTGGCCCGAGCTGTAAACGTGAGTACCCATGCTTGGCTGATTCTTGCAATATGGGCGTGTTGCGGTTGTTGACGCAATGTTACAACAGCCACTTGCTGTCTTCTCAGTGGCAAATTTATCGCGCTTCCGACTACACCGATGACAGCTGCTGAAGTTACGGAATCACGTAGTTCTTTGAATCGACGCCGACGCGGGTATACTGTGAGTCCACGAAGCAAACACGTCACGCGTTCAATCCCAGTCGCGACGGTCGAACTTCGATGATGACAAAACTCTGGATGCCCGTGTACTGCGGTATGCC